GCGTTTTGAGACGTCTAGAAGACGTGAAAAGCGCTATATCAAATAAAAGGATTATTATTATTATAATAAAATCAGGATACAAATATTCCTTTCCTCTCTAAAAAGCTTGGTGATACTGTAGTTTTTAAAAGTTATCTGCATTAGAATTGGTGGACTTTCTCTGAACAGTCTGACGTATCTCCATAGCTATGCCAGCCCCCAAAGCCACACAGATTAAACTTAGAACATGAGATGTGTACTCAGTTTGAAAAGAAGTTGGCCCTCATCCCTTCACGCAGCACATGTCAAAGTGATCAACACCATCAAACGCAAAACAGCGCAGCTTTAAATTCAAGTTAATCAAGGTTTCAACCAAGGTTGATTAATCTTAATCTGTTTCACCCTGGCTCAGTTGGCCACATTCTCACGTTGGAGTCAGAAGGTTGTGGGTTCATGCCCCAAGTTAGGACTTTGAATTCTTAGTCTAGGTAGATACTCCAATACACTTTTCGGGAGTGCTGCATTGTTGGAGATGCCATTGTATGGATGAGACATTAAATCGAGGTCCTATCTGCCTGTTCAAGTGGATGTTAAGGATACCATGGTACTATTTGAAAAGACAAGAGAGTTTCTCCCAGTTTCCTGGCCAACAATCCCTCAGATTAAATTAGTCATTCAGTCCTTGCTTGTTTTTGGAACACTGTTGTGCACACAATTTGCTGTCATGTTTGTCTACAAATAAACAACAACTTAGATTTATATAGCACTCTCCACACTGGACGGCGTCTCAGTGCGCTTTACAGTTTAGGATGCCGGGACCGAGCCAGGGGGAGGGGTGGAAAGGTGACCGAAGGCACGATTGAAAAGAAAGGTCTTCAGCAGAGACCTGAAAATGGGAAGGGAGGGAGCGAGACGAAAGGAGTGAGGGAGGCAGTTCCAGAGCCTCGAGGCATAGTGGCTGAAGGCACAGCCACCGAGGGTGGAGCGAAGGACTCGGGGGAAGAGGAGGAGGCCAGACCCGGAGGCAAAACGAAGGCAACGTGTACTGTGCTGAGGAGAGAGGAGGTCAGAGAGGTTGGGGGGTGCAGAGGAGTGCAGCGACTTGAACACGAGGGTGAGGATCCTGAAATCGATCCTCTCTAGGACAGGCAGCCAGTGCAGTCTGGCAAGGACTGGGGTGATTGGGGAGCGGAGTTTCGTGCGGGTGAGAATGCGGGCAGCAGAGTTCTGAATGAGTTGGATTTTATGGATGGTAGTGGATGGGAGACCGGCGAGGAGGGCATTTGAATAATCCAGCTGGGAGGTGACAAAGGCATGGACCAGAGTTTCAGCAGCTTTTGGGGAGAGGTATTGGCGGAGACGGGTGATGCATCGGAGGTGGAAGAAAGCGGTGCTGATGAGAGACCGGATGTGGGGGAGGAAGGATAATTGGGGTCGAGCCTGACGCTTACGCGTTCTGAGAGTTTTAGGGGGAGGTCGGGTAGGTGGAGGAGGTGAGAACCGTGAGATTTTAGACGTTGATGAGAGCAGAAGAGTATGGCTTCCGTTTTGTCAACGTTCAGCTGAAGGAAGTTTGCGCTCATCCAGCCCCTGAGGTCTGACAGGCAGCTGACAGAACATTAGGGGACTGGGGGTCGCAAAGAGAGGTAGAAAATAGAGTTGGGTGTCGCCCGCATACATGTGGAAATGTACCCCATGTCTGCGGATGACATCCCCAAGAGGGAGCATGTAGATCAGAAAGAGGAGGGGGCCAAGGATGGATCCTTGGGGTACCCCACAGGTGACCGGGTGAGAGTGGGAGAAGAAACCGTTTGTGCAGATGTATTGCTGGCGGTTTGTGAGGTAGGACTCGAACCAAGTGAGTGCGGTCCCACTGAGGTGGATGACGGAGGAAAGGCGGTGGAGGAGGATGGCGTGATCGATTGTGTTGAACGTGACGGAGAGGTCCAGGAGGACAAGGAGGCAGAGGGAGACCTGATCACAGATAGAGAGGAAGTCGTTTGTGACTTTCATAAGCGCAGTCTCTGTACGGTGGGCGGAAACCGGACTGGAGGGGTTCGAAGAGGGAGTGGGAGGAGAGGTGAGCGCGAAGTTTGTTTGCAACAACGCGTTCTAGAACTTTTGAGAGGAAGGGCAGGTTAGAAATAGGGCGGTAATGGCTGGTAACTACACTTTACAGTAAAATTCTATGAAGAACTTTGAGATGTTTCAACGTTGTGATTAAGTGCTATGCAGGGTTGCAGGATTAATATTATTAAAACTAAATGGGCTCGGAGTAATATATGGAAATTAAGGGAAATTCACTCACATGAAATATTTAAAAATCAATGACATTTCATTTTAGCTTTTATTTAATGTTTACCAAGTGCTGAATCAAACTTACACAGTATGATGCAAATAATTGTTTAACTTCACACCCATCATGCTGAGTTAGTCTTCCCGTCTTCAGGGTTCATCATGGCTGTCATTTGTTTTTCCCACAAAGAATAATTTTCCCATAAGTGTCAAAATAGACTCAAAATAGACTCAAAAGGGTAATTAAAAGTGTCAAATGACCATTTTACCCCCCAGAGATGCAAGAATATCTGGTTAGAGATAGAATTGATAAGAATAATAATTCTTGCATTTGATATAGCCCCTTATCAGATCGAGACATCTCAAAATGCTTCACTCTACAGTGGATTGACTGAGCATTTTGTGGGTGAAACTAAGCATAACAAATTGGTACCTAAAGGGTTAAAAAAAATCTCCCAGGCACAGATCTCAAAATTGTTTGCTGGGAACCTTAGGGAACCACCGTCTTCATTTTGTTTCCACAAACAGCTTTTCCTCCGGCCCCCGCATTGTCTCGTGCGGTGTCCCTCAGGGCTCTGTCCTCGGTCCCCTCCTCTTCACCCTCTATATGCTCTCCCTGTGGTGACATCATCCCCAGACATGGGGTTAACTTCCACATGTATGCGGATGACACCCAACTCTACCTTTCCTCCTCTACCCTCAACTCCACGACCACCGAGGTCCTGACAGCTGTCTGTCCGACATCGAGTCCTGGACGAGAGACAACTTTCTTCAGCTCAACGTGCGCAAAACTGAGGCCCTCCTGATTGGCTCACGTCAGCGCCTCCGCACCTCAGGCATCACCTCCGAAACATCGCCAGACTACGGCACTACCTCACCCCTCACGCTACTGAAACTCTGGTCCATGCCTTTATCACCTCAAGGCTGGACTATGGGAACTCTCTCCTCGCCGGCCTTCCCGGCCCTCCCTCCACACTGCAGGTCATTCAGAACTCTGCAGCTCGTGTACTGTCCCGCACCAGACACCGCGCCCACATCACTCCCACCCTCGCTCGCCTCCACTGGCTCCCCATCCCCCAGAGGATCGAATTCAAGATCCTCACCCTCATCTACAAGGCCATTCACGGCCTCGCTCCCTCCTACCTCTCTGACCTACTATCCCCTACTTACCTGCCCGTACCCTCTGTTCCTCCGGCTCCGGTCTGCTCCACATCCCCCGCTCCAACCGCCCTACCATCGGTGGCCGGGCCTTCAGCCTCTCAGCCCCGAAGCTCTGGAACTCCATCCCCCAGTGCCTTCGCCGCTTCCTCCCTTTCCTCCTTCAAGGCCGGTCTCAAGACCTTTCTCTTTGACCGTGGCTTCAGCTCCCCTCTCGACTCTCTCCCCCCTCCTCGCTCCCTCCTTTCCCTCCCCTCACCCTGACCACTTCCCCCCTGCTCAGGTCCTGACCCAACTGTCCAGCGCCTTGGGACGTCCTCCCGACGTGAAAGGCACTCTATAAATGGAATCTTGTTGTTGTTGTTGTAGTGAGTCAGATGCAGAATGCAACTAGGCAGAGTTTAAGAATATGGGTCATCTTAATATCTTGGAGAATTGTTCCAACTATGGGAAGATATTTCTCAGTGCTTTATGGTTTTGTAGGCATAATCTGTAGTTACTTGCTTTCTTTGAGTTTTGGCTAATGTCCATCCTGGGGTTCACTGTATAATTATCTTTAGATTAAATGGAACTGATGAATTAAGTAGTCCTTTCATTGTTTCTATTCGATTTTCTCCTCGTCTGCTGAATGCCAAAGACGGCATATTCTTTGTGGATTCAAATTAATTATTCTTTTCTAGTACACAGAAATCCAATTTTCATATATTTATGGCAGAAATGCCCTCAGCAAGCTGTACACACTTTCCAGTTGTATTGCTTTCCAAATTTGCAATTTTCCAACAAATTCACATTTCTGTTGTCAGTTATTTTAAATAATACAAAATTCTTTCTGTCACCTCTGACAGAAATCATTGCGACTCAATCTATAACCTTTTAGATGTTTGAGTAACACCATATCTCAGTGCTCTGACATTCCTGTTAGAGCACATCAATACACATTCGGAAAACCTGTTACTTTGGAGTATAGGCAAAAAATTCTACAATTACAACTCAGGGGCCATATTCAATTGAAGAAGAATGAGCTGCTTTAGTGCCTCTTGATAGTGAGGGCTTAAATGCTTCTTACAGAGAAGACTATTTGTCCCACAAATGTGTTTTCTATGAATAAGCAGCCATTTTAGTTATGTCTGTGCCATTGCCCTGAAGCTCTTTGATACTGATCCACAAGGAGTGGTCTTAAAAGCATATCAAAGAATGGAAATGCCAAAGGGCAGTTCAGATCATCAAGCCATCTACCTATTTTCTCGAGCTATTTACAACCAACATGATGTATTCCATCCATTTAAATGCTAAGGGAAATGTTGTCAAGCAAAGTGCCAAAATATCAACTACACCCAGCACCCGCCAATCCTCACTACAGATAACACTACCATACCATCCCAGTTTCACAGGCATAATTACACCTCTATGGAAGATTCAAATATTTCAGTTTATTCTGATCTCAACCAATTCCGTTACTGACCAGATATTTCTCCAGCTTATTTTTGAAAGGAGACTGTTTTTCCTTAAGTCTATTATTTGTACCTGCAGGATCACTAGCCCCAGACAGAGCTTTTTCTATTATTTACCACTTCTTGCTTTCTATTCAAGGATTATTATTCTATTCACATGACAATTTACAATCCAGTTAGTGAATGAATGGAGCGTCAATTTTATGAGCCAACCGCCTTTAAAAAGCCTCACAATTGGAACTTTTCAAAAATCTTCTCAAAAACCAATGAGTTATAATAATCTGAAAAAAACCACTATTATCTTTATCCTTTCAAAGGAGTCAAGCAGACCAGTGAAGCATACCTATTGCTTTTAAATTTATAGTTTCAGGCGTTAAACTTAAGTGATATTGCAGTCCTAGAAAGATTTTAATCGTCTACCAGAAGGTGTATTTGCATAGAATTTAAGACTTTTTTTGTTAGGACGCATTTAATAAATGAAACCGTCCTTACCCAGAATTATAAATTACAACACCTTTGCAATCATCAACTTATTTAATAAGTTTAAACACAATACAAATCTCGCACAAGCAATGTTTGCTTGAAGCATAAAGCATCGCGCAGCATGCTCTGAAGGATTTGGTGAAGCAGGCACCTTTGAGGTAGATGGGCGTATTCAGTCGCCGCAACACTTGGTCGAATAATCAAGCTCAATGTAAAAACAATTGAATTTCCACACTTACTTGCTATGCTCAGGTAGATAAATGGACTTGTCTTGTTTTCCCCATTCTTTTCGTTGACTGCTTGCACATAGTACTTTCCCGCATCTGCGGCGGCCGCTGAGAGCACTACCAGATGATTGTCAAGCGTTAGCATTCTGTTTAAAAAAGACAAAAAAATTAGTACTTCAAACAAATTGAATATCAATCTTCAATGGGCTGGAATCATCAGAAGCCTATTACATTTCAAGATCGATGAGCACTGTATGTCTGTCAAGAGTGCCGGAAAATCCTAATATATTCATTTTGAATTCCAGTTGTTCTCGTCACCTTATTCTCACTGCCAGCAAGGCTTGTCAGTTTTATTTCTGCATCAGGCTGGCTTATTTATTTCACTTTTTTTCAAAGCTATCTATTGGCAAAATTCAACCTCAGGGTATGCACATACCAGGCAAACTACCAAGCTTCCATATGTTTTAGTTAGCACTTGCTATCTCCTCACACAAGCCTGACATACAGACACTCTTGATATGATGTGCACTTGCTAATTACTGAATACTTACAAAACAAACAAACAGATACATCTTCAGATACTGTACAATCATTTATTACCCTTTTCACTTATGTCAAGCCAACCATACCACAGCTGATACATAATTGTAAGAAAAACATATGTTACACTTTTCTCCAGAATTTATTCCATGCAACAAATAGCTGTCAAAGTGGCTGTACATAACGTTTCAAGTTCCATTGATGTTTATAGATTGCTCAAGCTTCACTTTCCCAGTTTTTGACATGTTCAGAAACCTTTGAATTACCGGTATGAGATTCACTGACAACTATACTATCTGATATTTATGAGAGAAGATTAACACCTCAACTATGAGTAATCTTATGCCTGTCTGATATCAAAATATTTAGCCTATAGCCATTCTTCTGGGATTACACAGAATTTTTGATGAATTTGAAATCCAATAAACAGACAGTTGTTAAGAAAAATCTTAGATACCCCAGTTTTTTACTTGAATCAGATATTCTATTTTTTTACAGTAGAATTTGCAAGCTTGCATTGATTTGGAGAAAATCAATGCAAGTTTCACTGTGTTTAGAGATTACTCATTTAAAATAGCTCAAATTCAAAATCAGTCTTTGGATTGGTCTGTGCAGATCCTTCTAGTTAAGAGAAAAATCGAGGCAAATCATTCAACTTTAGAGAATGTGAAATCATTAACAAATTAACACTTAACCAGAAATCAGGCTGATGCTTCAGTTTCCCCAGCTGATTTTGCTCAGTATTACAAGCAATACTGAAATCATGTTTTGACAGATTATTAAGTTAAAAGTTACAGGACTAATTTTCTGCTCAGTAAGCACCTCAGGAGATAGTCAAATGTCCCAGATTTTAGTGTAAAAACCCCAACAACCAACAAGCTTCTAAATGTCTCATTCTGATGTTAGCAGTAACACTGCTTGAGTAACCAAACAAAGAAACTTGCTACTGGTAATAATAATAATAATCCTTGCATTTGATACAGCGCCTTATCACATCGTTGAGAAGTATCAAAGTGCTCCACAGAGTATACTGTAGAGTCTGTAGAAATTTTTAAGGGATTTATGACAGACAGACAGACAGACAGACAGACAGACAGACAGACAGACAGACAGAAAGAAAGAAAGAAAGAAAGAAAGAAAGAAAGAAAGAAAGAAAGAAAGAAAGAAAGAAAGAAAGAAAGAAAGAAAGAAAGAAAGAAAGAAAGAAAGAAATTGACTAACAACCAGGTTCCTACTAACTGTTAGGTAAACAGAGGTATATAGAGTAAAGAAACTTGCCCAAAGTTTCACCCTGCCAAGGAATCAAACCCAGGTCTCTCGCTTTGCGAGGCGAGTGCTCTAACCACTGAGCTATAGGACTCCACCTTATATAGCGCCTTATCATGTCTTCGAGACGTCTCAAAGTGCTTCACAGAATATACTATAAAGTTAATTGACTGTATATTTTGTGGGTGAATAAGAGCCATTGACTTGAAGATCCTCACTCCAATGTTTAAATCCCTCCATGCCTTGGCACTGCCCTATCTGTCCAAACTCCTCTCTCCTCACAGCACTACCCGCTGCCTCCACTCTACTGGCCTCTTCACTGTCCCTCGAAACCTTCGCTTCACCATCGGCAGCCGTGCCTTCAGCCACTGTGCCTCAAAGCTATGGAACTCTCTCCCTTTGCTTGCCCCTTCTTTCCCCATTTTCAGGTTGTGCCTGAAGACCTTCCTCTTCGACCTTGCCTTTGGTTACCTTTCCCCTCCCACTGGCTTGGCATCGGGCTCCGCCATTGTTAAGAGCTCTGGGACGCTGCCCGGCATGGAGGGTGCTATATAAACGCAAGTTGTTGTTGTTATCTCTTCGACCACACTCAGGGACATCAGCTTTCCCCAGTTCGGGCTCCAAGTTAGCTGTACGAAGCAGTTTGAGACTGCCTCCTGACGTGAAAGGCATTACATAAATGTAAATTGTTGCTGTTTTAGATGTACTGAATGTGCATTGAGGTCCATTTGGGGAAATCAGTAAAAATAAGCTAAATAAGTATAACAATATATGTCAGTTTTCTTCATATAATGGTCAAAGCAAATACACGCCAGGATACAAGCTGCACAAATGGCAAAACAGCATATCAGATTTCTCTGGTATTCATGAATCCTAACAAGAGTAGAAAAAGCCATTGAGACTTCAGTAAATTTATCTACTCTTATGACTGACGGTCATAATTTACCTTGACTAATGTATAGAGGCCTACTCTTACAAAGAAAATAATTCACACGTCGTTTGTTCCAAAGTATCATTTGCTATTGGAGTTAGCAAAAACAGTAGTCTTGTTTCGATACGATAGGTGGCTTCTCCACGCTTACAACAACAAAGTGATTTTCAATAACTTAATGGACTGATGTTTCACAGTAGATTGAGCTGCTTTCCTTAAATTTGTTGAGAAATTTCTGCAGCCAAAATCTGAAAAATTGCATTAAAAACCTGGAAGCTGAAGATACCTACAAAACACACAGCACACCCACTTTACAATGTATCTTGTGGCACTATATCAAATTCAAGTATTATTATTATTATACCACCAACCATAGTACTATTGCTGATGTGGCAATTGAGCTCAATATTTTTTCAACATGTTAACACATCAGCATCAACTATGAGTTGGCAGCCATTGTTAAAGGGGGAAATAAAGTCAAAGGGGATTGCTTTTTTACACAACTAATTAGAAATAAGAGAAAAATAACACTGGAATAAAACAATTCCTTTCCTACAGCAAGGTATCCTTGCTTCAACAATACCTAGGACCCACTTCCTCTTGCACTTGACTGCACTGGTTACGCATGTTATGGGAAGGAACTAATACATTTCCTGGACTGGCTCTAATGAGTTGAGCAGGGATGGGACGGGGTTCTGAAACCAGTCTCCAAATATCAGTAGCCATTTTGTTTTTTCATGTTAAGAGCACTCGAACATTTTGATTCCTCGTCGCACAAGTCAGGGAATTCTGCTGGTTAGTAAAGTTGTCAATCTGGGTTGCCTTTTTTAAAAAAATGTTATTAAAATATAACTATTCTGATAAGAGTTGCAATCGTTTGCTGTTGTTTGTTTTTGCTGCATTTGATCACAATGCCCTCAAATTGTGGTGCGGGGGAATCAGTTGGGTATTATCACCAATCAGACCATTCACACCACCAGCTCATAACATGTACATGGCTCACTTATATTTTTAATACTCTTAAAGCTATCTTCCTATGATCACTGGATTTTCATAAGCTCACAGAATAATAAAAGCATGGTTTGCAGCACAGTGTTTCTTAAAGCAGTCTCTGTAGTTAAATGGATTTGACAGAATATGTTTTGTGAATAAATTAATTTTATTAATATAATGGTGAATAGATAATGGCACATTCCCCTCAGAGTTAAAACAGAAAATGTGTCAGTTTGGCAATTGGAATGAAACCCCATATTGTCTGTTCAGGATCAGTAGGTAAATGGCAAAGGCTGAGAACAGGTCTTGCATGCAAATATAAATATCAGCATGTACTGCGTGTAACAGAGTTATGATCCTCAAGTCAAAGCCAGTACAGAAACGGGACTCTGTAATTCTATTTGTGCTATTGTGGTTGTGATTGAAGGAAGGGATTAGAAACAATATCCATTTACATGGCAGATACAAGCACCACTGTGTGCAAATAGCAGTATCAACAAACCATTCCACTTGGCAGTGAGGAAAGATAACCTAACAGCAGCAATGAACACTGGACCTTTTGACCTACACAATAGTTCCCTATGATTCCAAAACAGCCCATCTACTACAATATAAACGTAAAGCTTTGTTCGATCAGATTAGTAATTCATTTAGATGAACTGCAGCAGAACCTCGACTATCTGACATAATGATGAGTTCCACCTTTCCCTTTCAGTGGATAATTCAAATTAGTGAAGTCATGTAGCTTAGTGGTTGGAGCACTCGCCTCGCAATGTGAGAGGACCTTGGGAAAGTTTCCTTACTCCACACACCTCTGTTCACCTGACAGTAAGTAGGAACCCGGTTGTTAATGAATGACGGATCGCTTTTCCGGGGATAATAATCCCTTCAAAAAAATATATTGAAATTAAAGAATAATAATTTGGTCACTCAATCCAAGACTGTTTGTAGCACACTGCTATATGGAATTGGCTGCCACGTTTCACCCACAAAATATACAGTCAATTCCCTTGATAGTACATTTTCTGACGAGCTTTGAGGAATCTCAAGGACGCGATAAGACACTATATCAAATGCAAGCATTATTATAGTGAATAATGAAGGTTTCATTGTAGAGAGGGCAAATACTTCATAATGCAAGCACAGCATTTGAACCTTCGTGTTATCTGAAGGATCTTGGGCTGGCTGCAAATAGTTGATAAGAAATTGGAAACTGGGCATTAGGCATAATTCTGAAAGCATTCAATATGACACCTGTGGGGTAAAATTTCACCTGGATTTACTCTTTTTACATAGTGTTTCGGTGATAAGAATTTAAAATTTGTTGAATTTAGTCTTTGAAGCTGATTTTCTGAGAATGGTTAAAAAGACATACAGAAATCTGGCTTCAAGATTACAGATTTAAGAATTTTCCAA